TTGGGGTCCCGGTGCCTTTGGTAGCTGTGATGGCTGCATTCTGAGCCAAGTTTTCCCCACGTCCCCTCCCAGGAGAACTACGACGATCCCCACAAGACCCCCGCGTCCCCCGTGGTTCACATCCGGGGGCTGATTGACGGCGTGGTGGAGGCCGACCTGGTGGAGGCCCTGCAGGAGTTTGGTCCCATCAGGTGAGTTGCAGCAGCCCCGCGGGTCGGTTCCCCTCCCGCAGCCCTGAGCTCCGGTCCCCTTTGCTGCAGTTACGTGGTGGTGATGCCCAAGAAGCGACAGGCCCTGGTGGAGTTTGAGGACATCCTGGGTGCCTGCAATGCTGTCAACTACGCGGCCGACAACCAAATCTACATCGCCGGGCACCCAGCTTTTGTCAACTACTCCACCAGCCAGAAGATCTCCCGCCCTGGGGACAGCGACGACTCCCGTGGCGTCAACAACGTTTTGCTCTTCACCATTCTCAACCCCATCTACTCCATCACGACGGTGAGCGGGGGGTTCAGAGGGGCCTCGTGCACCTTGATGCCATCTCAGCGGTCTTAAATCTGCTTTTCCTGTTCCTTTGCCCCATGCTCACGTAGCCTGTGGGGTTTTCTTACACACGGGTGCATCGTTTTGGGGTTCTGGTAGCAGTTGCTGTGCCTCGTGCAGATCCCTCGCCTCTGTTTCCTTGCAGGATGTGCTCTACACCATCTGCAACCCGTGTGGCCCCGTGCAGAGGATTGTTATCTTCAGGAAGAACGGCGTCCAGGCCATGGTGGAATATCCTTTGGTGCCTCAGAGCAGCTCCATTCTGCCCTGCTGCCGTGGGGTCGCTGGGAACGGCTTTAAATGCAGCTCTGCGGCTGTGCTTCTGGTGCTGCTGCAGGGCAGGTTCAGTGTAGCTGTTTCCTGGCTTTGTCTGTGATCGTTGCTACGTAGAGAGAACCGCCTTGCAGCGCTGTTCACTTTGCAGCCTTCTCCCTTAACGCTGTGAACGTTTGACTCGGTGCAGAGCGCGCAGCGAGCCAAAGCGTCCCTCAACGGGGCCGACATCTACTCGGGGTGCTGCACGCTCAAGATCGAATACGCCAAGGTGAGCAGCCATGCAGCACAGCGGCCCCCAGTGAGCTGCCGCCGCCGCTCATCCCTCTGTCTGTCCGTCTGTCTGCCCGCAGCCCACGCGCCTGAACGTTTTCAAGAACGACCAGGACACCTGGGACTACACCAACCCCAACCTCAGCGGACAAGGTAATGTCCCTGCAGTGCTTTGTCCCTTCGCTGCCGTCGGGTACAGCACTCACAGCTCCCACCTTCACGTCACGCCACGTTGCTGCCGCGCCTTCACCCCAGGGCCTTCAGTAGGGCCGGTGGTGAGGGGTAGAGCTGGGCTGAACCCCCAGCCGTGAGCTCCGGGCTTCTCTCGAGGCTCTTGCTGCATCTCGCTTGTCGGGAAGCGTCGGCGCGCGGCCCTGCGAGCGAGGGAAGTCTCTGCACACCCAGTTTTCCTTTATGGGGGGAGGTTTGGAGGCGTTTTTTGTTTTGTTGTTGGTCGTTTTTTCAATTTTCTCCTCGAGGAGCCTCTGTTGGTTTGGGGAAAAAAAAAACAACAAGTGCCATTGCTTTGTAGCCCTTCCCATCTCGGCGCTGAGCGAACCGGGCTCGCGTCCCCTCCGTCCCCAAGCGACCCCTGGGCAGAGGGGCGGCTGCTTCGTGTCTGCGATCGGAGGGGAGGGGGTTTCGCGGCGGGTTTGGGGGGGTTTTAGCGCCGACTCGCCCCCTTCCTCGGGTGCCGAAGCGAGCAATGGCAATACACGACATCCCCAGAGCACGGGCAGACCCTCCTCCAAGGTACATACGTAGATGTGCAGAGCGGTCGCAGGGCCGTGCATTGTTGAGCTGCATCCGGGCTCGCCTGGCAGGCGGCTGGGAACGGGGAGGGGGTGCAGTAACGTGGCCTTTCCCAGCTCCAAGCACATAAACCCGGGGACCGTTCTGCGGCGGAAGTCCCGAATGGGCCGTGATCTGCCTCTGCACATTCCTCACACCATCACACAGTGTAGAAAAACAAAAAAAAAAAACAAAAACCTCACTGGAGAAAACACGCAGCATCCAGAAAAACAAGCAGCAGCTTGAGCTCATTACATCAAGAACACCACACCGTGGCCCAAGGACTCTACAGCACAGAGAGAAAGAGGCGCAGCATGCCACAGCAGACACTACCTTTACTTAAACCAAACCAGAGTGAATCCACAGAACTAGAAAACACGGCCCAGAGGGTCCTGACCACGAGCCCAGCAGCGCTCTTACGGAGAACGGAGCAGAGCTGAGGCCCTCCAGCCTTAGGATTGCTGTCAGCACGGTTTGGTTTGGGAGGGCAGTTCTTTGCTCGCACAGTTTCTCCTGCAGTCCTCAGCTGCCAGCATTATCAGCGCCGAGCGGAGAGCAAAACCAAACCACCCCAAGGGCACACAGAGCCCCATGAGGCCGTAGCTGGGGCCGCTTTTGGGCCGAGACACATTTCCATTACAGAGGAGACACGCACACGGAAAGAGCTACACAGAGCCAGAAGCACCATTCTGTTACAGCCCCACACAATTCAGGAGTGAAACACGGAGGAACACTCTCATTTATCACACCTTTATGTCCTCTCTCGGCACCTCTCGAGGACAGACAGCACAGCTGTGAGACGTTTTTTTTCTTTTAAAAGATTTGGCTTTTTTTTCTTTCTTTCTTTTTTTTTTTTTTAAAGAAAGATTGTAGCGGTTTTGTGCCTTTGACCTGTGTTTATGACTCTGAAACCATGTGATGCAGGGTCGCAGTGTATGTTTGATGGGACGCCATCTTTCAGAACTGTGCTAACTCACTCTTGAAGCGTCCAATGGTAAGAGCCATGCAGAACTGTTGTATGACAATGGACTTTGTACTTTGCACTCCCGCTGTAAGTAGCCCCTTTTCCATCTCTGTCGTGGAACGAGCCGCACGGATCACGCGCAGAGGGACGAGAAGAGCAACTGTTTGGTGCCGTGGTGGTGATGCCGTGTCTGTGACGGGTGCTGACCCGACTGCTGTCGCTTTGCTGCCTGTCTCAGGGCGGGGAGATGTCTTGCCACTTGATTTCCGTAGATGATGACGATGATGATGATTTCGGTTTTGTTTTTCTGTATGTTAACCATTAATTGTTTGACGGCTCGATAGAGAAACCCAGCGGCGTCCCGGAGCCTGGGGGGGGG